GCTCAATCGCTCCCACCGTCTCTCCACTTGGTGCACCTGGCACCTGCTCTGTCGTGGCGCCTCTCATGCGCAATCCTGCGCCGACTGCCAACCACAGTTCGCGCCTGTATCTTTCTGTAGAGGAGGCAATGGCCGATATGCGTGTGTGCGTGTGTTCGCGAGGGTAGACGACCTGGTCGAGGCTGCCATGAGATGTTGGCCCTGCTCATCTGGTCCCGTCGAGCCGTCATGTCCTCTGTCCGCTGCGGCCCACGCGCCTGCCCTGGCTCTCACTATCCCCTCTCTTGGGCGTCTGCCTAGTTTTTCTCATCTTGCCTTTCTCTACTCCCAGTACTGAATAGTAGCCACCCCTCCTCTCCACAGCGGCCAGGGTGCACAACCAAGTTGGGGTGCACAATGTTGGGTGCGGCTCGACTTTGACGTGAGTAACTCGGCCAGGCTCTCAAGGCCGAAGACGCCCGCCTACCTGATCTGGATTCTTATATCTCCATTCAGCATCTCGATGTCTCTTTTTTGCAGATTATTTGCCCATATCCTTGCCAAGGCGACCCAACCCGCGGCCCGACCAGTCGACTAACATCGTCTCTAATCTGCATCTCGAGTACTCTGCAAGTACACCCCCCCACCATCTCACTCGTCAACCCCAGCCCTACGCCTGGCTGAGCTTGAACTTGAACAACGCTGCAAACATTGAGGATAGAAGCAATCAACTGACGCTTCTTCTCCGACGGCGTCACCTTCTGACCGGGGTCTACAAGTGGAAAAAACTCGTCGCAAACAAGAGTGGTCGGATCGATTACCCGCCTCCATCCCGACTTCCGCTTTCTGTATAAGCTGCAGCGAGGTAGTTGCGTTGGCTCGGTACACTTCATCATAGTATGGCGAGCAAGTACAAGATACTCTTCATTGCAAAGTTCATCCCTCAATCGTCGAATATTTAAGGAGGAGGAGTCCTCCTTCTCTGGAATTCCTTCACCACCAACTTCACTCACTCCTCTTCGCTTGCAATCTGCACAAGACACCTTCCTGCCTCTTAGAGAGACATTTTCAACCCCAATTGCACCTACAGCCAGTCTGAGTTGACGGGCAAAGCTTCGTCAATCCTCAACTTTCTTCTGCTACCTCATCTCGGTAGCATCATATATCGCACTCGCCGTCAAATCGCAAGATCAATACCGCAATAATGTGCGTTTGGGTCACCTCCCAGCAGTGGACTCTGTGCGGATGCACTTCTCAGGATACTGAGCAGAAGCCTACATGCGGCTGCCCTACTGTGATCCCCAAGGGCACCCAGGTGTGGGAGGGCAACTGTGGCCGCCCTCAGTGCCCGAAAAGCTCTTAAGATCTGTGCACTGCTGAATCAATTGCCCTTTTGTGAGTATTTTCATGGATTGCTGACTTGGCACTCGACCGGAAAAGGTGCACTAACAGGTCTCTTCAGCTGCGAAACCCGGTCCCAGTCCTTAACAACGACAATACAAGCAGCACATGCGTAGATAGCCTCGCGGCAAGCATGCCTCCATTCGGCAACAAACATGAGTATCTCAATAAGCGGCTACTTGACAAGTTTCATTCTCTTCCTTCGTTTGCCTATTTGTTTCGCGGCACCAACTTTCATATCTCTGCTCTTCTCTGCAAGAGAGTGTGCTTTATGCAAGCTCTCGCGCCTTTTTTACGTCGCTATGCGGCGGAATCTTCTCTATTCACTCTCTGCTTTTCTTCTTTCTCGGAACTTTGCACAATTCTTGATAGGATTGAGGACACGGGACACGCTGAACAGGATATGTGCAGTCACAAGCTGGAGTTTGGCTTTGGCACTGAGCACTTGATGATTTGACCAGTCAGTTCGTGGGAGACGGGTTTTACACACAATCTTTTGACAAGAAATCCATTACGTTCTCCACCACTTTTGCGCTTCCTATGTGATGTTCCATGAATGTATACAAATTGCGAAGCCTGCCGTTTGCGTAAAGAGCCGTGTTGTTTGTCTTATTGGATGTTGTGCGCCGCGGGATGTCGAGCTGCCATGTAAGACGTGAGGAGTCATTTTTGTCCCCTTGGACCAGCTCGACATCAGCTCGACCGCTTGGGGGCCATTCATGGTCAAGTGCCGACGGCATTACGATGTGTTGTGTGACATGTTTGCTTCCTTTCCCCCCTCCCAAGGCTGATGCGCCGGGACCGCCGAGACCTTGTGCCTTGCGCGAACTTGTTGCCACAACGAGGAAGGGACGGGGGGGAAGCATCGATCATGCACAACCGCATATACATGAGAGATTGGAAGGCGGCGGCGGCCCGGCTCTTCCCCTTCTCTCTTTCTCGACTAGTACGGTGACGCGGAATAGAAAAACTTGCTACGCCGTTTTGTACAACCTGACAGAAAGAAAGAAGCACAGAGCGTTTTTTTTTTTTTTTTTGCAGCGCCTTGAGGCCCGTTATGCGACCGGGTGGGTTTTAGGTTTTTTTAGCTAGGGCGTATCAAAGACCGTGAGTCGTCCAGTGGTCCAACGGACAAGAAGAAACTGGAAAAAAGGACGGCCGCGGACGTAAATTGCCGTATTCTGCAAAGTTAGTAGAGGCCTTTTTGTGGTTTTTACCTCTTTCTGTCCACGGATTGGCTCCTCGAGAGGATTGAGCCAAGTCTTTTTTGGGTGTCGTGGCCGTCCGGCCTTCGTCGACTAACACGCCTCACACAAACATCAGAAGGCAAGGGGGGGGGCGTGTATGATCAAATTGAGCCTTTCTCTAAAAATAAAAATGAAATAATAATGAAAAACTATCAAGGCAAGATGTCATCATTCTTTTCTTCTTTTAATTTCTTTCCAGAAGTCGCCGTCGCCATCGCCGTCGCAGCTCTGGGGCCGTCATCGTCATCGTCATCGTCGTGTGCAAGTACTCCCCCGGCTATATCCGTTACCACTGCCAGGCCACGCCTGGACAAGGGCAAAGAAGCGCGCGCCCGCGGAAAGTCCCGCGCCTGTTTTAATGTTTGAACCTAGACTTGATTTCTCCCTTTTTTTTTACCTCCTTCAAAATCTTTCCTTTTTTTTTTTTTGGCTTACAGGTAGCAACGGCTTGCTGCTTTTTTCTGCCCAGAAAAACGCCGCTCGCTCGCTGTTCACAACCTGCATGTACATGAAAAAGCTTAGCTCCAATTCATTCACCAACATTGGCTAACAAGCCAGTGTGGCCAACTTTCATTAACCGCTCGCTTCTTTCACGTTACGTTACGACCAAGTGGCTTGAACTAGAACGACGCCTCATCCGTGTTCCCCCCCTTTTGTTCACTCTCGTTTACTTTTGCCATTCTTTTCTTCAAGGCCCATTTCCCATTGTGACTCGCCCTCTTTCTCCAGCCTCCCCCCCCCCCCCCCCGTGCCCGCCATGCAGCCGCAGCTCATCATGTGATGGGGAACATGTGGCACCTTTACAATCTGTTCTTTTTTTTTTCTTGGTCGCACAAAGAACCCTTGTCCATCCCAGACACACTGATACCAAGAACAAAGAAAACGGTTTGGAAATGAGCTAGGCGGGCATTGTGCTCACCATGGTTGGGCGATTTGGGCGGAACCTGTTTGATTTCCAAAATTGGATGAGAGGGGGAACCTGAATTGCCCGGGCGAAGAGAGGAAAAAAAAAAGCCTGGCCGCCGGTCTACGGGCCGGCCAACGCCCCAACTCCTCCGCTGTCCCCCCGCTTACGAGGCCGACTCGTGAGAAAGAGGGGCCCAACTTGGCAGACGGGCTTTCATTACCAACGATATGCGCCTTCTCGAGACCGACATGCAGTCTGCCGATGTTTGTGCCCGGAGCAGGGGGCCGCAGAGGAGAATCGGACCGTATTAAAAACAGAGCCTCGTTGGCAACTTGGCAGGGCATGTGTTCCACTTTGAGAGGGGGGGGGGGTCCGTAGTGCCGGGGCTGCTCTCCCGTCATGAGCTGATGACAAACGCTCTTTTGAAGCGAGAGCCATAGATTGATGCGAATGATGCGAATGATGCCTGCCGGCTGCCTGCCGGCTGCCTGTCAACATCTGCGTGTTAGCGATCGCTGTAGCTGTCCGGCTTACATTGGCCCCGGTCCAGTTTCAGGTATCCCACATCCCCTTGTCTGTCTCTCATCATCATCATCATCATCATCATCATCATCATCATCATCATCATCATCATCATCATCATTACTATGCATCGAGTACCGCCAGCTCGTAGCTCACAAGTTTGGGCCTCGCCAAGCTCTTTCTCCAAGTCTCGTAGACTACACCCCCTTTCTACGTCGCCTAGTCACAGAGCTCACGTGGCAGGTCAAACACAACGACAAGTTCATTCAAGTGACTTGTGTATTTCCCGACTATAGCCGCTTCTCCAAAAAAAAATCCAAAGTAAAACGAAATCATGAAACGAAATCATGAAAAAGACTGCATCAAAAGCAAGAGAGCATGTTCAGGTTCCAATCTGGTTCTCTCTCATATACACGATAAATGCACGCGTGATTCCTCCCAGCAGACATCAATCAAGTTCACTTCTTTTTTGCTTCAATCTTTTTTTCTGACGGAATGGTTTCCATCTTCAGCCTTGGCATCGTCCCTTCCTCTTCTGTTAACAGGGGGCAAGACTTGAAAAGGGTGTACTCTTTCTTTTTGGTTTGTGTGTCCTCCTCTGCTTCGCTATCGAATATTCTCTCCCCTCTCGTAGTGTACATACAAACAAAAACTGAAAATTAATGGGGGGCAGGCAAACCTCCCCACGAAACAAGGAAAAGGAAAAGGAATATTTTGTCCCCGTCTTTTTTTGCTTTGCAACGCCTTCATCTCTCTGCATCGAATTCGCCCCTCCCCAACAACTGCAATATGCTGCTTTTTCTAAATGCAAAGGGGGTTTCGTTCTATGTAAATGCGATTCTCCTCCAGTCTCTTCCGTTTCCAATCAAAAGTATGACTCCTTTTTGCGCGCGGGCTTTATTTTTTTTTTTTGGCTTTATTTAATAGTAAGGTTCCATGTCAAATCACTCGTTATTCGGCGAGCTAGGCGAGTATTGGTTGCCAGTTCCAGAACCTCCACCAGAGCCCGAGGGACCAGGCGTGCGTGGAGAGAACTGCGGCGAGGTGGGAGAGTAACCAGGGCTCGTGGGCGACTGCTGCTGGCCGGGGCTGCGTCCGAAGCTTGGACTCGTGGGTGAGTAAGCGTCGGGTGACGTTGGTGACCACGACGGCGACGCAGGCGAGTACGAAGGCGAAGTAGGACCAGCTCCTTGGAAGTTGGGAGACGCAGGACTGTAATTGGGACTGGCCGGGGAGTAGCTGGGAGACGTCGGCGAGTTGAACTGAGCAGGAGATGTAGGCGAGTAGTGTCGCGGTGATGTCGGCGACGTCGGCGAGTAACTAGGAGACGTTGGGCTGTAGTTGGGGCTGGCCGGGCTGGTGGGTCGCAGCATCGGCGACGTCGGCGAGAAGGACGGCGAAGACGGACTGAATGACGGAGAGGTGGCGTAACGAGCACCGCCGTCAAGCATGGGCGACGTAGGGGAGTAACCCGTGTTAGGCGACGATGGCGAATAGCCTCCCATGCCTGCGCTGAATGGCGACGTGGGCGACGTGCTGAAGGGACTAGTAGCGCCACGCGAGTACGGACTCATCGAACCATTGGCTCCGAAGCCACCGCCATACTCGGTATTGAACCCAGTAGGTGTTTCTGAGCCAGCACCCTGAATAGGAGAAAAGTTACCAGCAGCAGGCGAAGCCATGCTGAGATAACCAGAGTCGCCCATCGGCGAGCCACTATCGTATGGTGTGGCAGCACCCTCGCCCTCGCCTTCCTTGGTGGGCATGCCAGGCATAAGGCCCATGCGAGAATTGTCGGAAATGACAGTCTCCAGCATCTTAGGATCCAAGTAGACATCAAAGTTGCCGGTGCCCATGGGCGCAAGCTGACCAAGCATGACGTTCTCGGAGATACCACGGCAGTCGTCGAGTTCGCCAGTAGCGGCAGCCTCGAGCAGGATTTCGACAGTCTCTTCGAAGGAACAACGCATCAGAGCACCAGTGTCGGCCCGGTTAATACCGTGACGTGTGACGGCCGAAATGACACCACGGTAGGTCATAATGTCGCACAGCAAAGCAATATGACGATGATTGACGTACGAACCGTCAAAAGCCAACACGTTGGTCAATTCCTTCACCAGCGCAGATCGTACAGCCTCGACACCGAACACCTCAGTGATCTGATACAGGTCGTTGCTGTAGGTTCTGGTGGGATCGACACCGGGGACAGCGAGTACCTCGCGGAGTGCTGAACCACTGGTATCCAAGTACCACTGTGTGCACTTCGGGTTATCCTTGAGAGCCAGTTCGGAGCCGTCTTCATCCTCAACCAGGCGGGTACCCTTGGTCAAGAAGGCCCTTTCGATGCCAGGAACACCGCGTAAAGTCATAGTATCAAGCAAGTGAGCTTCTAGTCGCTTGAGCATGACATCGTCTTCAATCTTCGTGTCAGAATCCTCGTCCTTGTCATCACTTTGACGAATGGTACGGATACGGATGACTTGCTCGTCGGCATTGTTGTCAGAGAAGATGATGGCCAGATCGTTTGAGTACTCCTCCTTGATGCACGCAGCGACATCGTCAATCTTGATTTCCTTGTCCAGGAGTTTCTGGCGGTCAAGAGTAATGCGGAGGAGCCAGCGCGACTGCCGGTGAATGGTATCCTGGGCATCATCGGGAATCATGAAGTAAGATTCAACCATGTCCACATCCTCAGCAATGTTCGTTGCCTGCACCTCGGGATCGTAGTAGATTTCGGTGACCGATGTGACGGAGCGCAAGTTGGTATACTCGACCAAACTACGGAGCTTCTTGGCCTGCTCCTGCGTACCCAGTTTGGTGTCCAGGTAGACGGCCATGCTGGGAGTCTTGATATTTTTGGCCAAGTTCAGAATCTCCTTGAGACGCGGCACACCCAGAGTAACGTTCTTCGAAGACACACCAGCAAAGTGGAAAGTGTTGAGTGTCATCTGAGTAGCAGGCTCACCAATAGACTGGGCAGCGAGAACACCAACCATCTCACCAGGGCTAACAAAAGCTCTATCCCAACGATTCTGAAGCTCGCCGATGACGTGGTTAAAGGCAAGCTTGTTTAAGCGATGCACGTAGACAATCTCTCTGAAAGCGAGACGAGAGCGCAGGAGTGCCTTGAACAGAATGGTAGCATTGTAATCGGCCTCAACTGAGATGGGGTCCGTGCCACGCACAATCTGCATGTTGGCCAGCAAATTTTGAACAGTTGTGATGACATCGGACGGCCGCAGATTGCTGCGGTCAGTTTCGCGAATATTGAAGACACGCTTGGCACTCTCGATGATACGGCCAATATTGAGTGGAAGCTGCATCATCTCTTCACCCATCTTGCTCTTGTTGATATCACGGACAAGGCGTCTGTCAGCAACAAGGGCATCCCACTCCATGTCCAGCAGTTCCATGGACGCCCTATCGCCTGCCAGCTCATTGCCGTACTCATAGTCCTTGCGGAACCACTCAGGGGGGTTGGCAAGATCCAAACGATATTGGCTTTCGAAGGCAGCATTAGACATCTTGATGGTGCCAAGTCTCTGTTTTTCAATGCACATAGCATCGAGACCATCCTCACCGTACAAGAATTGAATAACGTCGCCCAATGAATTACGCACAGTTCCGTCGTAGCGCGCGCTGAGATCTTCGAGCGCCTTGACGAGACGTCGCTGAATGTAACCCGTCTCAGCGGTCTTAACCGCAGTATCAATGAGACCCTCTCTACCAGCCATGGCGTGGAAGAAGAACTCCGAAGGAGTCAAGCCACGAAGGTACGAGTTCTCGACGAAACCACGAGCTTCAGGCGAATAATCGTCCTTTGTGAAATGCGGCAGTGTTCGGTACTTGAAGCCGAAAGGGATACGCTTTCCTTCAACAATCTGCTGTCCGACGAGGGCCGTCATCTGCGAGATGTTGATGGAAGAACCCTTGGAACCAGAATCAGCCATGGTGACGGCATTGTTGGAATCCTTCAAACTCTTCATGGTTGAAGTACCAGCCTGGTCACGGGCCATGTTGAGAGCCATGGAGACTTTGTTCTCGAAAGTGGCGCGGACATTCATACCAGGTAAAGCCTCCAGCTCGTTGGCTGTAGCCTGGGCAGTCAAGCGAGCGACCTCGGCTTTGTGTTCGTCGATATGCTCCTGGATCTTATTGATGGTAGCCTTGTCGGGAACAGTGTCGCCAATACCAATACTGAAACCGGTGTTCAGTAGCCAGTAGGTGACAACTTGTTGGACACCATTCAAGAAAGCCATGGCGCCCTCCGGCCCGAGTTCGTTGTAGCACAAATGAATGATGCCTCCTGCGGCAGCACCAACACTCTTCTTCTTGAGTAGACCGTACATGAGCTCACCGCTCTGAATAAGCAGGCCAGCGTCATGTCTAGGATTGTCCAGCTTATCTTCCTTGCTGTACAGACTGATCTCTGGGGGGATGACCATGCTGATAATCTGCTTGCCGGTCCAGCGAGGTCTAGGCTTCAAAATAGCCGGCTGTGGAATGACGCCATCCCAGTTGGGTACCCAGAGCATGAGATTTTGAACAAGCTCTTTATCGATAAATGTGTCACGACGACAGAGCTTGTAGACACCGGCCAGAGAGTCTTGAACAATACCCATTAGGGGACCGTTTTTCTGAGGCGACACAATATTGTTGGGAACGAGACAAAGCTCCTTGATTTCAGCCCGAGTTTCCTCAGTCTGGGGAACGTGCAAGTTCATTTCATCACCATCGAAATCGGCATTATAGGGGGAAGTGACGGAAAGGTTAAGTCGGAAGGTAGAGTAGGGCATGACCTTGACACGATGACCCATCATGGATTCCTTGTGCAGGGAGGGCTGACGGTTGAAGATGATGTAGTCGCCATCGATTAGATGACGCTCAACCTTCCATCCATATTCCAAAGAGATTTGAGCCGCGCGTCTGTGGTGTCGTAGATCGATTCTGGTGCCATCAGAGCGAATGACGTATTTGGCACCAGGGTGCTCGTTAGGTCCGTTCTCAACGAGTTGATGCAGCTTGGCAATGTTATAGGGTGTGACCGTCTCAGGATAGGTGAGAGTACGAGCAATGCTTCGCGGAACACCAACTTCGTGCAGAGACAAGTTGGCGTCACCAGTGATGACGGTACGCGCGGAAAAGTCGACACGCTTACCCATCAAGTTGCCTCGCAGACGACCCTCCTTACCCTTGAGACGGGCGCGAATCGCCTTGACAGGACGACCGCTCTTTTGGAGGGCCCGCGGCTGACCAGCAATATCGTTATCCATGTAGGTGGCAACATGGTACTGCAGCAGCTCCTCAAAATCACGCGCGATGTGTTGCGGTGATCCTTCACGAATGGCCTGCTTGACATTACCGTTGGCGCGGATAATGTCACCAAGCTTGTAGGTCAGATCATCCTCGTTTCTCGTGCCAGTACCAGTACCATCCATGGAAATACTAGGACGCACGGGAGGAGGGGGTACAGGCAGCACAGTGATGATCATCCACTCGGGACGAGCATAGTCTGAGTTAAGACCAATATTGTGCAGATCGCGCTCAGAGATGCGGCGAAGGATACCATGCGCCATCTCGGCGCTGATATTAACCGTCTCTTTCCTCTTGGGACCCTCTTCCGAAGTAACCTCGAAGGCAGCTTTGAGTTGCAGCGCGGCCTGTCTCACCTGCGGCTGCATATTGCCACATCCGCCATGTCCTTCGAGAACGACGTTCTTGACACCTGGAGCGAACTCTTCGTCTTTATTCTTGTCTTGCCGCTCCTCATTCTCGCATTTGCGCTTCTTCTTGCATACGGCCCAAACGCGCTTGAATCGGAGTTTCGGATCGCGAGTATGAATAGCTGTGACGAATTCGGGATCGCTCTGATAATGCACGTTAGCATCCAGCAAGCTCCAAAGCTTCATGGAGTAAAGGGAAGACCAACTTCATCGGCCAACACTTTGCTGCAGTTGTGGCAGACAATCTCCAAAACCTTTTTCACTTTCTTGATGAAACCAGGGTGATAGACAGGTTTCGCCAGCTCTATATGGCCAAAATGACCTGGACACTCGCTCATCGGCTGAGAGCAAGTCTTACACTTGAACTGACGATCGATGGAACCAAGAAGAGGATCGTTCAGACCGCCGTCGCGTGGTGTTGTCTTGTTCTCTTCCATTGTTTCAGGATAGAGAATGTGCGCGACGCTCATGTTTTTGATTTCCTCCGGGGATAACATACCAAACTGTATTTCCTCAACAGTTTTGAGCGGCGCGCTCGAATGCGGAAAGGGAAGGTTCGCCATGATGAATCGATATAATGGCGATTAACCGAGATGCTGCAAGACTCTGACCGTCCAATTAAGGCGTCAAGAGCGACGCGCCTCGGGTGGTTGTGAAGTGTGTAGGACAGCCTCGTGCGACGAAAAAAAACAGCGCGCAAGAGGAAAGAAAAATACAGAAGTCGACTGAGTCCAGACAAAGGCGAGTCTCAACCTCGATGGCAGACACCGTCAAAGTCGTGTTGCGGATGGCCCTTGAAGGCAGCAGCGCCTGTCCTGGCCAGCGGCCCAGGAGAACCTCAGGCAATTCGCCCCCGTCGCCTCCACCTCTGGGATCGCAAGAGACAATAATTCGTAGGTCGCCGTATCGTAGGGCACTCGTATCTGTGCTCGGTGATGTTGCGCTCGATGCCCGACGCGCGTGGTGATGAGTTTGGGCCCGTGAACAAAGTTTTGTCGTGTTGAGGCGTGGCGACAGAGGGCGGACCGAAGAAACTGGAGTTTACGTGCTGGCGAGACGCTCACACAGCGCTAGTCCTCTTTAGGCTCCGGCCACCTCCTAAGGGAGCACAAGTTGGTGCCTGAGGCTGAAATAAGGGAGGTACCAGGGACAAGGGCCAAAACAGGGCAAGCACGAATAACCAATCAATTTGGCAGAGTTCGCGGGCGCCAGCCTCCGAGGGAAAGTCGAAATACTTTGATACTGTTTGGGGTAACACGAACACCTGGACGAACAGCTCTCCGCCACACTTGCCCAGAGATCCATTCGCCATCATCGCCGATGACTCAAACAACGATCTTTACCTGTCACCGATTGGATGCGACGTCACTTGCAGAAATCGATTCTTCGCCAAACAAACTTGTGCACTGCGTTGAACCTGTCCTTGGGTATTGACTGCTTATCTAGTCCCTTTCCTACTTTCGCTTACTGCGTCCGCCCTTGGCCGGACCCCGTTTTGGCGGCACCAACTCGGCTCCCCCGTGCGAATCAGACTGGTCGTCTCCGGGACTTCGCCTCCTCATGGTCCCTGTCGAAACGGCTATGAACTCATCCTCGCTATCGCTTTCACCCAGAGTAAACAGAACTGGCATACGAAACTCGTCACCGTCCATCTCGGCCTCGATCTTCAACTGGTCGTTTGTCATGACATCCACCTCCTCGTCCTCTGCATCTAGACGCCGGCGATGAATCTCTTCCTGCGCATATAGATCAAACTCGTCCTCTTTCTCGATGTACTCGACGTTCTCCTCGACTTCGGCAAAATCGGGCGCCAGTGCCGACCACTTTTGCGGGCTGATGACTGACCAAATGTATATTCTGCCAGTCTCCAATCCACAGGCTGCGAGCATTGCACGGCCAGGGTGCCATTCAATAACACCCTGCTCCTCTTTAGGATCTTTGAGCATGCAGACTAGACTTCCATGGTTGCGCTCCCAAACATAGAGCTCATGGTTGTTATATGTAGATGCAGCAACATATTCGCCTGTTGCGCTGAATGTGACGTGATTCCATGACAGGCGGTTGACGACGTCTTGGAACTTATGCTCGACCGGTATTTGTATCGTATCGGGATCGAGATCTTGGGCAGAAAGATTTGGTATCCTTAGCGTGCGAATGATGCGATCCTGTGAATTAACCAAAAGGTCACGGCCGGAACCTGTGGTTCGTAGTGTCGTGATCGCGCCGGCGCAAATCTTTTCTGAGTAGATGATTTCGAGCGTTTTGGCATCGATTATATTTATTTTCCCTTTGCTGGTTCCAGCAAGAATATGGTCGCCGGACATGGTCCAGACCGCTGATGTAGTCATTTGTTTGGCGTCCTCTTTTGCCTGTCGCTCGTCGGCAGTCGCTCGTTTCGGTGCTGAAGGGAGTACGCGCTTGACATCAACGGGCTCGGACACATCGACTAGAGCAGGTTGCTCTTCAAACACAGCGGCGACAAATTGAAAGCTGTCAGCAGTTAGCCTAGAGCAAGCAGCGGCAGAGGCTGGGGGGCACCAACCTGTTCCACGGGTGAAGCTCAGCCATGTATACAGGGGCGCGGAAGCGCACCTCGCGAAATCTACTGCCGTCTTTCAAGTCCCATAGAATGGCTCTCCACCCCTGGCACGCAGAGAGCAAGTACCGACCACATCTAGACCAGCTGAGATATGTGATGCTCTTGTTGTGACCGCGTAGCTTCCTCGCTACGCCCATGGTCTCTAAATCCCAGACAGCCACGGTTCCATCGACGCGCCCAGATGCGAGGTAGTCGCCCTTGCGATTAAATCGTAGAAAGGTCGCATGACCCGATCGAATGGTACTCGTGATGCTCTCTGGATAGTCCTGGAGCAGGTAGTCGTCGGAAAGAAGTAAATTCATGTCAGCGACGCGGGCTGTGAAGCCGCTCTATGTTCTGAGCAGCACGCACCCAGTAGGTTGTGGCAGCTCTGCGAGTCAATGCAGAAAAGTGACGCGTTTTGTGAGGTACGAGTGGCGCGCATGGAACAAGACGGAGGGTTGTCGCAAAGTCAAAAGATGGTGGTGACGGTCGCATCAGCGCGCGACGATTTTGGCTGCCACTTCTGTGGAGCTCCACCCGCGGGGCATCACATTGACAGCGAGATGAGTAAGTGCAACCTTGTTCCACCAACGGCAGGAAGACGATATCGCAAAATGGCAAATTCAAAGTATGCAAATTATCCCAGTGTTCTTTTTACTATGACTAAGTTTCTTAAGATTCGAGTATGTTCGAGACTTCGAACAACCCGACTATCTGCTCCGAAACACTTGGGTCGTGGTCCGTGTCGATGGCAGAGCCTTCACTAAGTAAGAGTTTTAAGCGCCGGGTCAGAAAACTTATTTCTGCTGACTTTATAATCTCAGAATGTGTGCAAGATACGGTTTTGAAAAGCCAAATGACCGTAGAGCACTTGACGTCATGAACTCGGCTGCCAGAGCGGTTGTCGCGGATCTTCCAGAGATTACCATAGCCTACGGTGTCAGTGATGAGTACAGGTAAAGGCAAATTACTCGATGCTGAGGCTCTTCTGGCTAATAATCTTCAAGCTTCGTTCTTCACAAATCTTGTAATTTGTTTGAGCGAAGAGCAAGGTATGGCGGAATCGTTAGAATCCTCTTCGTGACTCACACGTTCTAACATGAGATAGTAAACTTGTCAGTACCATTGTGTCGACTTTTACCGCAAATTATGTCCACTGCTGGCAAGATTTCTTCCCGGATACACCACTCTCGTTCCCTCTGCCTACATTTGATGGGCGCGCTGTCTGCTATCCAACCGTCCAAAACCTGCGAGACTACATGAGCTGGCGCCAAGCAGACTGTAAGCGTTCTGATACTTATATCAGCGGGACATGAGCTAACAAATCAAGGTCATATCAATAACTTGTATAACACCGCTTTTTGGTCTCTGGTTCAACTTGGCGGTTTAGACAATAAGGAAGCGGAAAAGACGCTTGCGGTAAGAACTCGCCGGCCTGCTACCATGAAGAAGTAAACTGCTGACAGCCTGAGGTTTGCAGGGAACACTCGCTGCTGACAAGAATGAGATTTTGTTTTCCCGTTTCAAAATCAACTATAATAACGAGCCCGACATTTTTAAAAAAGGAAGTGTCGTGTTTCGAGATGTGCGTATAATGATGCCTCCGCTTCTTGAGCCTAACTAATGTTTTCTAGTACGAACTCGTAGACCCAGCAAGCCACAAAACTGCAGATACAGTCGATGAGTTAGCTGAGCCTGTTCAGCAGTCCAAAACGCAGAACGAGAATGATAAGAAGCGCCGGTCCAAGGCGCGAATTGTGGTCGAGCATCTGGATATCATTCGGGACGATTTCTGGGAACGAAGACCATGGATATTGTCCAACAAGCCGGGAAAGGTTCCCAAGGAAACATAAATCTGATTTTAAATAATATATACAAGATTGTTCCGCTATCCCATATGATATCATTTTATGGAAGAGTAATTTGTATCTTACCCCACGATAAACACCCAAACACCAACGCAAATGCAAGAAGAAAACGCCATGATTGTGTTTCAGTGAGCGCATATTTCGCCTATTGTACTGCCTCTTCCTTGCGCAGTCGTCTTTTTTCCTCTTTGCGCGCGCGGCGGCGTCGCTTTTCTTCGGCCGCATCGTCGCTTGAGTCGGATTTCGAGCTAGACTTCTTCGAGTCGCGCGCCAGCTTTCGTTGAGCCTTTTCTTCTCTCCGCTTGCGCTTGGCTTCTTTGCGCGCCCTGCGCTCCTCCCTGGACTCCTTGGGCCGCGCAGTCTTTTTGGTTTTCTTCTCAGCTGTTTCGAAGTCGGAGTCGGTGGTCAATTCGTCCATGTCGTCTTTTTGCTTGTTCAGGGCTTCTATTGTGCCCTGCAGAAAGCCACCGCGCACAAACGTTGCGTAGAGCGAGTATTTGCCAAGCGATCCCTTCTCGATCGCGTTGAGCTTGCCGGTGGTGATGGTTTGCACGACCTTGCCCTTTTTCGAGGTGTCGAGGCCTTGAAGCTGCTCGTCAAAGGCATTCATCCACCATTGGTCGCTGGTAAAATGCTGCGTGGCACCAATGCCTCTCGTGTTATCTTTGCGGTTGAGCAGTAGCGGCTTGGCCAGGCCGACAGCGTCGTCTGTCTTGTGCAGCGAGTGGCCTTTGCCTCTCCAGCCTTGGGCTGTGAGAAGTGCACTCGCGTTCATGGTGTCGCTGCAGTCTCTCCTGCAGATTTTTGAGGATGCGAGTTAAGCAAAGCAAAGAAAACCCTCCCCGAGGTACCAGTCCCTACGTTACGAGTGGAATGGTGCAGAGTGTCGGTCTTGGCGATCATGAATTTTTCGGTGGGGCCGCTCTTCTCAATAGGCTGCGTTGCGACCAATTGTATACCTACCTAGGTAGACATTTGGAGAAGCATGGTAACCTGTACTAGAAGTTACATATTTGTTAGGCACTTCATCGACGTTACAACACACAAGAGGTAATGTTTTCGGAGGCTTCGGACGTTTCTTCCATCAGTATAAGGTGGTTGAAAATTCATAGTCGTTGGTCTATCTGTTGATGTGTAGGGTCTGGCGCAAGTAGAGTATAGAGGCTCACAGATGTCGCTACTCATACAGCGATGTGCAATTGGCACGATTTTCCTTGGATACCAAAATCCAATGCCGAATCAGGGCATTCACGGCGCTTAATTGAGCCTTTACATTCACTCTTGAAGTAGAAGAGTGCCGTGGAGTGGTAGAGAAATCGATTCCTACCCAGGCACTCGGTGGAC